TCGCCACGAGGCTTTTTCAGTGACACGAACGCGGCGGGGAGGAACTCTCCGTTTTCCGCTTAATTGCGCCGGATTTGGTGCAAAAAGGACAAGAAACGAGCGGGCGAGGGGTCGATAGAACACCGGGATGGGAGAGGAGGCTCAGCAGGGCGGAGGTGACCTTTGGCAGCAGAGACAAATCAGTTGTGTTTTTAGACGGCGTGCTCGTCCCGCGCCCTACAAACCAATATGTTTCTGACTGCATGACTCACTGCCATTACTAATTCAGCATTGCTCATCCCGAGCCACGATGCATCGCTGTTATCCGTGACAGCTGTGCTAATGCAGTTCAGCCTCCTGGCAGCGGCTCCGCTCGGCTAATCTGCAAACCATTCAATTTACCCTCCAGATGTGTCGTAGTAATTAGTCTATTTATTGGCCGATTATGCGGGTAAACTGCCCACATCGCTGCTGTTGTAGCGCTCAGAGCACACGCTCTTATCTCTGTTTCTCAACCGACTACAAACACGCACAAGAAAAGCACATCCTGCTATTACCGGGAGAGGGATGGAGCGCACCGGATCCGTGGACGTGGGTATGAATGTGTGATCCACGTGGATTTATTCCCTCCTTCAGGCCCAGCGGTGAAATGAATCCAGCACAGAACAGTGATTGTACTTTCTAGCGTGTCCTTTCTGAACCGGCGTCCGGGCCGACTGACAGAGTTTCCCGTCGCTGGCTCTCTTTCATTTGTCTGTGCAGCCTCGGTGACTTTTCGCTTCTCGCTTTGTGATTGTGTTTATTCCAAAATGCTGCCGCCGCTCTGAGAAACATGAAAAGTGCCATTTTGTGTTACGGCTTTCCTGCAGACGGCGACTCAGGACGGCCAGCGTAAGCGCTTTAGTGCAAATTGAAAAACAAATGTTCTTCAGCGAGCTGAAGGCTACGGCCTTCTGCATTTTCCACGCCGCCAACAAATCCGACCTCCGTCACCACACAAAGCTTCAGAATCTTTAAAAGTGGACACAGATGAATCGTCTGATCTTCAGCCACGCTTGAAGGTTCATAGTCGGTGTTGATTTAATCTTTCAGTCCAAACAGAAGTCTGTTTGTTGCCCTGATGACATTCAGCCGTTGGTATTTCTCTGCGTCTCGGTGCGCAGCTAGCCGCCTTGTTAGCGTCTGTTTAAGGAACGTCTAATCTAAAACGAGCTGTGCATCTGCAGAATTAGCCCCATGGCTGCAGTTCAGGATTAACAAATCCAGCACAGGCAAATATATTCAATGCAACGTAACGGCATTGGGTACACGATGTTAACGATTAAAACTAGAAGTGACCGCTGTGATGATTAAAAAAAACAAAAACAAAATGTGTTGTAAATGTAGTTAATAAAGGCTTAAATTCCCTCATTTGTATTAATAAATAAGTCAGGATTTGTCACAATTATCTTTTAAAATAGTTTGATTGAATCATTGCCAAGATTAGATCAAACTTTATGAATGCAGAAGGAATGTTTTTGTGCCAGATGTTGCTCAGAAAAAACATCCTGTACAGACATTCATGGTCCTCAGAGGATGAACCCACTTTGAGGCTTCCATGTGCATTTTAGAGCTTGTGCAGTTTGTCATGAACTTTTGTGCACTTATTTACACATGTGGACAAAATAGTTGGTACCCCTCGGTTAATGAAAGAAAAACCCACAACGTTCTCAGAAATAACTTATTAACTAACTCACTGACAGCTACAGAAATCGTTTGATTGCAGTGATCGCCTCAAAAGGTTGTGCAACAAAATATGAAGTTAAGGGGACCATCGTTTTTGTCCAGGCCTGTTTCATGAGTTTATTTTTATTTTTTTAATAATTCTGTTGAGCCACGGTTCAAAAACAACGCCTGACTTTCATTGGTTAATTTTCATAGAATTTTTATTTATTATTACTTCTTTCAGATCCAAGTTATTTCTTTGACCATTGTGGGTTTTTCTTTCATTAACCGACGGGTACCAACAGTTCTGTCCACGTGTGTACATCCCCCAAACTGCAGAACTGTTGTAATAACTTCTTGCTCCACCAGAAGGTCAACATTTAGATTTGGAAAATGATTCTAGGCTCTATAAAGAAAAAGCATTATGCAAGATAAAAATTCTAGTTTGCTGATTTCAACATTGTCTTTAGGTGTTGTTTTGACTTAAGGATGTCAGTAGCTTAATATTGTGTGTAACTTAAAGTCTCATTTTTCAAATAATTGATTTAAAACAAAATTTAAGTTGCAGTAAATTCATCACATGAGTTAATAAACTTAATTGCTCTTTACTTTGGATTTTAAGTCCTAAAAAACATAAAGACTTGTGTTAATGTGAGTAACTGTTTGGAGGAAAACGTTTTAATGTTTCGGTTGTTGAGGCCAAACACCACCTTTAATTTACAGTAGATCTATGTCGCCTTCCATGAAGTGGAAAAGATGCAGCAGGAGCTTTTTCTCCATCCCATGAATTTATTAGAATTAATGAAAGTCTCTCTGAAACAGACGCTCGGTTTCTCGGCTCGGAGGCAAAACAGCTGAATCTCTGCGACGCTCAGGTTCACATGATGAAGGGTGAAGACTGCGTTCGTCACGGTGACCCGCAGAGAGAGGAAAGTGGGATTTGTCCTCGCCACCTGTCTGTGCACTGAGGATTAACAGGAAAAAAGGGGAAAGAAGCACTTCGATTTTCCTGGATTTATTTCTGTGTGTCACGGTGAAACATTCGGAGGGTTTTTTTTTTTTTTTCATTTTCAGTCGACCATCTGGGTTAAGCCGAGTGATGTTAGAGGAAGTTCTGTTTCCTCCGTGCCTTTGTACCTGCACCAGTTCGACTCTGATGCAACTTTCAGAGAGACTAGACTCGCCTTTGATTGAAACTGTAAGATCTGTAAGGTCGTGGCTTTTCATGAGCGCGTTCCTTTCTTCCTCATATTTCCCAGAAACACGATTCTCCTCCATTATGTGATTAAAATCGCAACACTGCTGCAGGCAAAAGTGTTATTTAAAAAAAAACGAAAGCTCCATCCATTAAGTCCACTTTCAGCCTGAAATCCTCCTCTGGATCCACGAAGGGAGTGAAGCAGAGTCTCAACAGCATGAGCTAATTTTAGTTTAGTTGCTTAAATGTTAACTGGATGCGACATCATCCATCTCCGCTGCCTAAATATGCCGGCTGCCTTCAGAAGGGGTTAGGATTATCATCTGTTCCCGCGGTTACACAGACAGCGATGAGGCAGCATCAGCACCGGCCTGCCGCGCATTTTTCTTTTTTTTCTTTTTTCAGTCGCATTGTGTGTTAGCGTGAGTCGAATTTGCATCCAAGGTGGAACATGTGTGCACGCTTTTATGTAAATAAAATCCTCGTGTGTGTGTGTGTGTTGCCTCACGGAGCTGCAGAGCACATGATAAATGCCGATGACTCATCCAGACCTTTGTTTATTAGTTTATATGCAGAAGACAGAAGGAGTCCGGAGAGAGAACGAGAAACCGGCGGTGATGTGTTTGGGAATTCGTCGGTTGATGTTTGTGTGCAAAGTTGGAGCGCTGCTGTGTGGTGCAGTTCAGAGTTTTAGTAGCGCATGACACAGGCGCTTATCAGCCTCTGAGCAGTGAGTCCACGGTTTGATTCCCAGCTGGAATAAACTCACTGCATGTAATTCACCTCGCTCTCTCTCTCTTCACTGTCACTGTCAAATGAAGGCAAGAATGTACCTATTAATAACAAAATAATACCAGATTTAAATGTGCCACTTTGAAATATTCTCCTCGTGCAGTGATGCTCTGCTCCCGTCGCTCCTGCAGCTGTGTCAAAGCAGTGACTCTTTAACTTCAATCTTTTGTTGGGGGGAGAGGATGAAGTTGCAGGGATGCAAACTGTGCATAACTGCTGCATAGTTGGAGCACAAACATGCCATCATGGGACCATTCAGGCTGTTTCCAGTAAAGGTTTTCCCCTAAATGCATCAGGACTAAGGCTACGTTCAGGCAGCAGGCTGACGTGACCCAAATCCGCTGTTTTTTGGCCGCTATGTGACCTGGATCTGATCTTTTCATGACAGTCTGAACAACAGATTCTATTTTTTCAAATGCGACCCGAGCCACTTGGATACGTGGTCCTAAACCTGATAGGGGTCCGATCTTTTGCCCACTTCTGTCTGAACATCCAGGTCGCATTTATCCGACCTACACGTCACTGATACACAACAAATGTCACTATTCTGCGTCGAAGTGGGCGGGAGCAGGAAGAAATACAACAACCATGGCGGACGATGAAGTGGAGTCGAGGTTTCTGAGTTCATTAATATTTGGGGGGGACAAAATGCCAAAAACCTGGCTCTCTTCCTTTGTCCTCTTGTTGGACAACAACTTTAAAATCACAAGATACGCTCCACCGTTACCATCCATGTTTACTTCCATAAACACTGAGCACGCTCGCTGCGTGTGATGTCGTCGTGTCCTCTTCTGCGCATGCGGGACACTTTTGGCTCGTATGAAGTTCACACAGCAGATCACATACAAGTCGCATTAAGTCCTGCAGTCTGAACGTAGCTTAAGAATCAACTGATTGCTGGATCTGAAATGCAGCATTTTGCTGATTATCAGCATCCTGGCAGAATAAATGAATCTGAAAATGTGCAACTTTGCTGCCTTCAGTGTCCATCCACGAAACCGTCTGACTGGTTTTAATCTGAATCTGTCTGAATGGTGAAAAGGTCTTTTTTGTTCAAACATATGTGTTATTCTGAGTTTTGGAACCAAGATTTTCCACTATTCTGGATCTGATTTCTGGATCCTAGTTTCAACACAGCTCCAAGGTGAGCATGTCTGATTCTGTTGCCTCCTGAGTCACTCTAAGGACTCAAAGATGAACAAACTTGAAAATGCCACAAGGCAGAGTGTAATGTCTGCTCTGCACATACAGTCCTGGAACTTTCTGATCGCACCTCATACTTAATGTGTTCAGTGTTGCTTCGATACAGTCACACAGCCGAACCACGTTTCAGTGAAAATACCGTTTATTCCGAGAGAGGACAAAATTGGACAGTGACAAGTCAACGTCTCTCACAAGACTCCTGCTCTCTTAGAAAGGGTTCCCCCTCCAACCAAAAAACACAAACATCATGTCAGAGCTGTAAAAGAAGGAGGTGTGTCACTCTTCACATGTTGCTAACGACATTTACAGAAGTGTTGCGGCAGCTGACGAACCAAACAGAACCTGAAACGCAGATATCGAGCCGTACGGAGGATTTGTCCTGAATTCGATCCTGAAACCGTCATCCAACCGGATGTAGGAAAAGAACAGAAACGACATGTTGTTGTTGGGTTTGTAAAGACAGCACAGGATACATGTGGACACGGTGGTTTATTCTGGGTTCAACATTAGCTGTTTAGAATAACTGAAGAATAACTCAGATACAGAAAAAACCTTTAGAGGTTTATTGATTCCTGTATTGAGCAAGTTTGTTTTTCTGTTTTTGATTGTTGGAGAAATCTGATTTATGATTGTGGTAAATGTTGAATTTCATAGAGTTAATATCTGTTTACAATCAACAGACTGATTCGTTTATATCAGAGTTTTCTTACACTCAGTAGGTTTCTGATAGAAAACTGGCCCAGGCTTGGCCGTCGGGTGGCGACTTTTCATGACTATAAGTTACGTTATTTGGCAGAAATCTGCATTTTTTCCCCATTTGATAAACACGAAGTCTGTTTTTGTTTTAGTAAATGAAACTCCAATTAACAGAACCGCTTACAAAAAAATGCTTATGCTAAACTCTTATCGTCTTGGCGCTGGTGAGTTTCCTTTGGCTCTGGCTCAGACCTCTTTTGGGGAGGCGTCTAAAATTCCTCTACGCTGGAAAAGAAAAAAAAACCCTGTGTGTGAACAACAGATTGCATATCCTGAGTGAAATCTAATTACGGTTTAATCTAGTAAAAGAGAAGCTTACAGTGCCTGCAGCAGAGCCGTACGGAGAAGGTTGCTGTTTCTAGTTTGCAGTCGGGGCCATGTGTTGTTGGGCAGATAGCGGAGCCAAAAGTTCCAACTATAGCTCCTGGGAAAGGGCAGCAACAACCGAGTGCAGGGCTTTTATTCTGCAGGCTTCCATCTCGTTGTGTGTCAACGTTAGCTGGCTTCGTCTGACTCGGCCGTCTGTGTGGATTTACCTCGACATGATGCACATACAGTAACCGCCATTAAAACAAGTACCGCTAATATCTATGTTGTTTTGGAGCCTCATTGTGGCCTCATTTATTTTTACAAACCCGGCTTTGCATCGTTTTCATGTCTTCTATACAACCACATTGAGCACTTTGGATCAAATGTGCCACACAATTAAATATATTATTATTATTATTATTAGTCATTATTGTCTTGGAGACTTTTGTCTCTTTGTTATTTTGCTGAGGAAGAAATTCGCCCAAAGCGCCTCCAGCGTGTCCTTGATTTCCCTTTAAAGAGCCCATATTCTGCTGTTTTTTGTGTGTTCCTGCTTCCCTTCAGTGTTGTATCGCTGCTTCTTTTGTGCATGTAACAGATCTGCACACTGACAAAGCCCAAAATCCACTCCAAAGGGAGACATTCTCTCTTACAGAAAATGCTGCTCCTTACCTGCCTCAGACACCTCCTTTCAAGTCCGATCTTTTCTTCTGTCCCCATGTAACATATTTATATAACGTCTGCCTGGCGGCTAGTTCGGCCTTCAAACAAACAAAGCGGCTTTTTCTCACTAAGGCTGCTTCGACTGGAGCTACATGATGATATTCGGAAATCTGGGGCAAGCTGCACTTCCTGAAACGTCCACTTGAGGCTGACACCAGAAGCGAGTCCGTCTCCATAGACTTCCATGTTAAAAATGTCCAACTTTACAGCAGAAATAAACATGTTTACAGGCTGGTACGTGAACCAGTTCTGGTCTCTACAGCTCATTTCCTCATTAATGTCAACTGCACTGGGGTTGATTTTTAATATAACTCCCCTGTTTAAACTGGATTAAGGCTTAAAATAATGAAAAATAATGTTCTTGTTGGAACATGAAACCATATAAACATAAGGCCGTTTACCACTGTAAGAACTTGCAGAAATATTTGGGTAGTCTGTGTGTGTTTTGTCCACTTAAAACCTCTTTCAGAGCCATTTTGGAGGGCGGAAAAAAGTGCCTACTTGAGGGTAGGTACTTTGAAGAGGCGCTAAAACACCCCGCTAGATGCTTAGTGGTTAAACATTAGGACAACTCATGTCCTCTCAGCATCTTTGTTGAGTAGTAATCTGTTCCTTTCTGACGTCACCAACATACATTCATGCTAACATAATAAACCTACATTGTCCTGTCTCCTTCATGCTCATGGAACTGGAGGAACATTCGGTTACTTCCTTTTGTCATTGTTTTGGTGCACTCTTCCTGGAAACAGAAAAGGCAGATTTACAAGCCCTTTCCTGTGAAAGTCTGCACCTGCCTCGAGTTCCTGCAGAGGAACGCTTGCCTATGTTCTAGTAAACTCCCAAAATAAAACCATAAACCTGTAAATATGCAGCATATGGGCTCTTTAAAAGAAGAACATTTTTCTTAGCAGTATTCATAAAGCCGTGTCTCGGGGTTGGAATCCTGTTAACTGGAACTATTTCTGTGTGAAGTCGACGGATGATGTAACACGATGTATTGTATTGATTACTGATCCCTGGAGGGAACTTTCACCTGCTTCCCTATGCAGAGGTCGTAGGTCACCTACAGCTAACGGCGCCTCTGACCCGGGACAGTAGGCGTGTAGCATCCTGCTAACACGAGGCCTGAACCGCTAACGGTGCCAGCTGGTCCGTTTCGCTCCAACCTGCTGTGTCTTTTAAGCCACGTCTGAGTTTCCTGTCTCCGGAGTGTAGCTGTTAAACTCGTCAGCTCCCTCCGATCCAAGCTGTACACCCCCACAACGTGGAGAGCAATTTACAGAACAGGACAGAACTGTCAGAATCGAGTCTCAGAGCTGCCTCTCTTCAGTGTGCTGCTATTGAACTCGTCATGCTCAAAGCTCAGATTATTATGTGACCTGGATATCATGAGCAGCTTCTCCCGTTTGCTGTAGTCGCGCCTGATTGCGGCGGCCTCTGAAGCGTCCAGGAGTCGATCCCCCTGCTCCTCCCTGTCCTCCAGCCGGACGTAGCCTTTACTGCTGCCTCGGTTTCCGCTGTTAATGCGGCTGCTGTTGCTACGGTCCAGTCGCGGCCAGCTGGGGTGCTTCCGCTGCTCCGGGTGCACACTGAGCATGCTCGGCCCGCGCTCCAGGTCCAGAGATTTGGAATGGCTGTTGAGCATGTGCAGGGAGGAGTTGGAGCCGAAGTCGCTCCTCGCCGCTCCGGGAGAAAGCCAGCAGCCTGAGGTAGAGGAGGGAGCCGGGGACAGGGAGGACGAGGAGAAGGAGGAGCAGCGGGAGGACGAGGAGGCGGAGTTGCTCCGGTGTAAGCCCGGCGGTTTGGACGCCTTGGCGACGGACGCTACCGGAACCACCAGAGACTCCATGGAGCTCAGCGGCGGCGGCCTCTCGCCGTCCCGCCTCTCCGCTCCTCTGTCCTCCTCGGTGATCGCCTCCATCTCCGGCTCGTCGATCACACAGTTGTTGAGTTTTATAACGGGGAGCGTGAAGGCGGAGATGGAGGAGGAGACGATGGAGCGTGCGTGGTGTCCTCCCTTCTCCCCGTCTCCGTCCACCGACCACTGGTGGCGCACCGAATCCGAGTGAGCCAACCCGAGCCCGGCGCCGCAAAACGACCGATCCTTGTAGAGCGGCGCCAGCAGCCCCGCAAAACTACAATCCAGCTTAGCTTGCTCTTTGCGTCTGTGGAGCTCCTCGTCCCCGAGCAGCACCTCCTCCTCCTCTGTAGACCCAGTGACGCCACCGGGCCGGGAGGAGAACGCGAGCAGGGAGTTGCTGGCTAACCGTGCTGCTGTGTCGGCTCCGAAAGCTCGAAGATCTATGGCTTCCCTTGCACAGGTGCTGCTGCGATGATGGTGTTGTTTTAGCTCCTTCTGCCGGAGACGATGGATGTCGATGACGGTGGAGTACATGTCTCTCATGTGGATTATCTGGAGGAGAGGAGAGTCGTATTAGCTGCAGCAATCACCTTTAGATTACCTGACACATATTAGCATCCGCAGTGTTCAACAGTTGAACGGTGCATTTCCTATCATGAACAATCAAGAACATGTACTTGAGATAGACTCTGGAAGATTTGAACCTCGATACTGACTTCTGTTGTGTTGCTACTACAGTAAACTGTTGGTGTTTAATTTGACAGAAGAGAAAATGCTCTGCAGTTGCATTGAGGTGATATGATTTAGAATAATCTGACATTTCAGGCAGATTCACTTAAGCTCTATACCGCATGTTTGGATATTCACGTTATTCCATGACAACATAATCTGTAGTTTAAAGTTAGTCGGACGCCGTGGCCTCGGAGTTCATGTCTGACACGTGGATTACCTGGAAGAGGGGAACGCTGGAGGAGGAGAGGTTTAATCGAATCACGCAAGGGGAGGGAAGGCCATAAGAAGAGCAGAGGAAATGAGATCAGGGGAAAATTGCAGCGATAAAAGTGGAAGGAGGTCGGGAGAAATCTGATCTGCATGATAGTTTGGTGGAGATGATGAATATGGATGACTGCAGCGCACTTCCCCTCATTTTGAACAGCGTGGGGAAGGAACAGACATGAGAATTTGGGACAGGGAAGGGATATTAGCTCCATATTCCACCGACTGTTAGATATGAGTTATCCGTTTGAAAGCTTCCTTTTCCAGGTCCAGATTCTGCAGGAACCGGACTCGTGTGACCTACTACATCTGCTGGTCTTTGATGTTTAGATGTCTGATAAGTTCAGGCCTACCTTCGTTTCTCTGTCTCGGTTTTCGTGAAGGATGGCATTAGCGCAGATGAAGATGAAGATCCCGATGCCCATGGTGAAGGGCCCGAGCATCTTCATCCTCTCGGAGTGAAGATGCTGCTCGAGGAAACGCATCAGGACGCCTTCAGATGGCTTGGAAGGCGAATCTGAAATTAGAAAGCAAGGAGGTCAGCTGGTTGGTCGAAACGCTGTCATCCAACCAAATCCTTTTTGGTTGCACGATCTCTAGTGTTACTTTAATAAGAACTTCATTTAAGGCAATTTTTTGGCCATTTGGAGCAATGGAGCAACAAATCCAGCATCATCACCGCTTAGCTTCAAAACAAACCATTAGCCAACATTAGCATTCACTGGGAGCATGTTTCTGGCCACCCAACAAATAAAAAGTCCAATATCGGCTTCTGTTAGTCCCGTTTCCTCGTTCTATAATCTCCATCGGCTGGTCGGACACTCTGGTGTTGAATTCACAAAGAGAAAAGCCCAAAATCAACAGCATTCCAGGATTAATCCATTATTTCTGGAAGCACCCCCATGTTTTCACAACTTTGAACTGCTCCGACTTGTTTAACATTCATCAGCGCGGCTGCTTTTTGTTCAAACAGATGGACCAAAGTGTGAACTTTGGAAACAGCAGTTTGTGCATCACAGCTCAACAACCAACGTGTCGGACTATTTAAAACCATCAGCTAACTCGACCGTGTTTTATTCCTCAGCAGTTCTTGTGCTGCGATCGCCAGTTGATATATTTTTAGAAATCATATGAATACGTGCAGCTGAGTCTGTGCTCATCATCTCAGTATGAAACAAGCAGGTTCAGATGGTTGGAGATGCTGCACATACCAGCGTTTTATGCTCATTTAGAATTCATTCAGGCTGACAGGACTGAGAGTCACTCGGTGTTCTGTGGAACATTTAGTTCATCGACAGATTTTTTTTTTTTCCTGCAACAAATCGACTGGTTTAGAAACAGATGTGACATTATGCAAAACTCATTTTGCTCTCTTGTAGAAAATGTGATAAATGACTGGATGGATGCACTAAACATGAAACCAGCGATGTTGTTCCCCTGCAGCCAGTCGATCAGTCAGGAAGCAGCTACAGGTTGACCTTCTTCTCTTTGGGTCACTGCAGAAATTGACTGAACGGTTTCTATTGTTTTCTTTGCTGTCCTGAAATTCATGTCAGCTAACAACGCTAGCAGGTCATTTGCTGTCATCTAAAGATAGTATGCTGATTTCTTCTCCCCGATGAACAATCGATTGGTTGAAGAGTCAGTGTAACCTGACCAGGACTGAGAACAGTTTTAGTCCTCCATCCTCACCGTGCCCGTCGTGACTCGTGTTGGCCATGTCCTTCTGCGCCTTGACGCCACGTCCTCCTCCGACGGGAACTGTTTTGCTGTGAGGCCAGTAGCCCAGCGTCGCCATGCCGATGCCTATGGCCAGGATCACCAGTCCCAGGAGGAGGAAAAAGCCCGAGGCCGAGTTGAGACGGAGCCTTCCTCTCACCACCACCACATCGGTGCGCCGCTTCCGCTTCCTGTACGGACAGAAAAGTTCAGTTTCTGTAGGCCAACATCTTTATGGATGCTAACACTTGGCACACGCTAAGCTCAGCACTGCTCATGAATCTAAATCTCTGCATTGCACTGCACTGAGTTCGTGAAGTCATCGTGACTGCTGATCACCTCGGGGCTCCGTCGGCGCCGCCCAGACCCGACGCTGTCGATACGGGCCGATGCTGAGAGCGGGCCGAGTCTTGGCGCTTTAGCTTGGCCAAGCCTGTGAGGACGCCTGCTGCTGCCGTCATGCTTCACCTGCAGACACATCAAGAGACTTTCAGGTTGTTTTAAATATTATTGGAGAGTTGGTGGTGAAGAGACAGACAGGAAAAGAAAGATGGTATGGTATTGCACATGTTATGACAATATAGAAATAAATATTAAATAAATGTCAAAATCTAAATATTAAGTTATATGTTGACTTTAAGGAACAAACATCACCAACAGTTCAGGCTGTGAATGAGGATTATTTTCACTGCTGTTGGTTTTTATCGGCTAGTTGTTTGGTCTCAGTGTTTCCTGGAGCCAAATACAACCAGATTTACTGCCAGTGAGGGAAAAACACAGCAGAAAATATCCACATTTACGCAGCAGGTTAAAATAAAATGTAAATGACTCAAACCAATTATAAACATGGTGGGTAATTAATTTAATGACTGTCAACGAATTGATTCAGCTCCACTAACGCCTGCATGGAAACATGTAGAGATGCTCGTATATATATTTATTTATATATGTTCCTCCCAGGTGCTGAGAGAACTGGTTATAAAACACTTAATATTCATGTTGAAGCCGCTCTGAGGATCACAGCTCGGTTTGTATAATCTAAAGCTGCCGAGTCGCTGCAGGTGACAGTATTTTATTCTTCTTTTTTTTAAACAGTGAATCTGTGTCATGTTGGTTCTGGTTGTGGGAACGTTCAGCGCTACAGATGTGAGCACACAGTCGGTGCAGCAGCCTCCCGTGTTGACTCGGGTTGTGTTGTTGTTGTTGTTGTTGTTGTTGGTTGTCAGCCTTCAGGACAACACGGGCAGCAGTCGGCGTGTTTGCAGTTATACATCAGCTCCTGCTGGCTGTTTGCTCGCTGCGTTTGATAAAGCAGCTCAAAAGGAAACACGACGACCAGACAGAATTTTTTATAAAATTCATTTTGATTCACATCTTGTTTTTCCTGCATTTGCATTCTTTTTTTTTTTTACTGGTGCCACTACTGTCGGTGTTTACGTTGGAGATGGAGCTCAGCGACTCTGTCACAACACCCAAATGAATCACCAGCTGCTCACATGTCTATTAATAGTTATTAAAAGAAGCGGGTTTTTAAAACAAACCTGAGTTCATTTGGGTCTAAACGCTCATTAATCTGGGGCTCACACGAACGTTAGCATTGTCCTGTTGGGCTCTAAGAGGATTAAAGATACGTAATGCTCCAAAAACGAGGCGGTGAGTTTGAAGGGAACTTTGAAGCGCTCCTGCAGTACAGTGGGTCACAGTCTGGCAGAGCGATTTGGTTTCTGTGTCAGCGGCTCTGCTGAATCACCAGCCGCTGAAAGACGACCTCAAAACACTGCATGTTGACAAGAGTTTCATCGGTTAGTGGAAATTAATATCGTCTTACAACAGATTCTCACTCCCACTCGTATTTAATGATGCATGAAGCTGCAGCAGCATCAGTGTGTTTGTATGGATGAAGCGATTCTGCATAAACCTCCATGACATCTACGTCATAGTGTCAACCGGAAGTTCAAGAACAAACCCACCAAGCAAATGTTAAAAATAGAAATACATCCAGATTACTTCATCTGCAGAGATTCTGGAAACATGGCAGTAATGTAGATTTGATGTATTGATTGTAGAGGACGTTTGTGTTTCGTTTCGGGGCTGTCAGCTGCATTTTATTGTATTTAAAGTGTAAAAACAGGAGATGTGGTTAAAATTTCAGAGACAGTAAAGTCAGACTTTTATGATGAAACTCGCTCTCGGCTTTGAATAAATCTGCCAGCTTCAGTGGTTGTAATTAAATTCAGGCTTCTATAAACCCGGTTGTTTGCACGGAGCTGGAACATCTCAGAGACGAAGGAGAAACTAAACTGTGTCAGCCTGTGAGAGAAAAATGTTTTAAATCAGGAAATGTTTCCTTAATGTGGACTGGGTCCAGACGGTTTGGAGATGAAAGAATTAAATAAAATGTTCGCTGCGTTGGAAAGCATTCAGAAAAGCTGTTAGCATCTCTGGAGCTAAGAAGCTAATGCAGGAGAAGTGGGACGTTTGTGAGATCTTAAAATGCACAATAACATCTAAACATCTCTCTGCTGTAACGTCCACAGTTTGCTGCCAGATTTCTGTCTTACTTCATGAATGATCAAACAGATTTACCATGAAAACGAAGCCGTGACCTTCATCTGTCTATTATTATCATTTCTTTTTCCTCTTCCTCTTCCTCTTATCTTCCTCCTCAGAGGAAGCCTATCTGTAGATCTCTCCCATCCATCCTCCCTCTCTCTCTCTCTCTAATGTATTCTGCCTGTGACCCTAAATAATGTTTTCCTTCTTCCCTTTTTCTCCACCCGGCTAACTTTCTCATCTTTGTTTGTCTTCCTCCTCCCTCCGTCTATTTTTAATCGCCTCTAATTTTAATTTAATCGCGTTCGGTCACGTTCCTGCGTCCCCCCCTCCTCTTGTTTCTCCTCTACGAAAGCTTTAAGATGGAGAATCAGACAAAGCTTTTAGCATTCAGAGCCCACCTCCTCCATCCTTCTTTCCTTCTCACATGTTAATGTGTTTTTCATGTCAATCATTTCATTGGTATCGTTGCTGCTGCTGCTGCTGCAGGAAAAAGTGCTTCGCCACAGATGGTGAATCACCCAAGGACAAACAGAAGCAGCCACTTTCCTCTGTTGTGTTTTTTTTTTCTGAGCTCCTCTCGTCGATTCGTCAACCAGGAACCCACACAGTGCTGAGGAGAGGTTCCCTCCGTTTGGGAGACAAGACGGACGACAACAGGAAGAGAAGAAGAAGAAGAACGATGCAACACTGAACTGTGAAAGCACAGACGAAAAGACGTTGTTTTGTGTCTGTTCGTGGTCCCTTTGTGTCTCTTTACGGTCCTTTTGGCTTTTCTGTGGTTGTTTTGTGTCTCTTTGTAGTCGTTTTTTGTGTTTTTGGTCATTTTATGTCTCCTTATGGTCCTTTATTGTCTTATTTTGAGGTAAAAGACACATTCTGGGGACACATGAGGCTTTTATTTTGTAGTTTTTTCTGTTTGTGGCCATTTTGTGTCTCTTTGTAGCTGTTTCTGTGTCCGTTTGTGGTTCTTCAGTGTCTTTGTTTGGTCCCTTTGTGTCTCTTTGTGATCAATTTGTGTCTGTTTGTGGTCATTTTGTGTCTTTTTTTGGTCCCTTTGCGTCTCTTTATGGTACTTTTGGCCTTTTTGTGTTCGTGTTTTGTGTCTTTTTGTCATTTTGTGTCCCTTCATGGTCTTATTTTGAGGTAAAAGACACACTGTGGGGACATGTGAGACTTTATTTTGGGTTTTTTGTGTCAGTTTGTGGCCATTTTGTTCCGTTTTGTGCTCTTTGTAGGTGTTTTGTGTCCGTTTGGGGTCCTTTACTATCTTTTTTCCATCTTTTTGTGTCTCTTTGTAGTCATTTTTTGTCTTTTTTTTAGAGTTTTTGTGTCCCTTTGTAGCTGTTTTCTGTCTGTTTGTTGGTCTTTTGTGTCTCTTTTTGTTCCTTCCGGCCTTTTTGTGGTTGTTTTTTTGTGTCTTCGGTTACTTAGTGTCTCCTTGTGGTCTCATTTTGAGGTAAAAGACATTCTGAGGACTTTTATTTTATAGTTTTTATGCCAGTTTGTGTCATTGTGGTCATTGTGTGTCTCTTTGTGGCTGTTTTGTGTGTCTTTGTGGTCATTTTCTGCGTGTTTGTTGACCATTTGCATCTCTTTTTGTGCCTTTTGGGTCTCTTTATGGTTCTTCTGGCCTCTTTGTGGTTGTTTTTTGGTCATTTTGTGTCTCCTTGTGGTCATTTATTGCCTTTTTTTGAGGTAAAAATTAGACACACATTCTGGGGACACGTGAGACTTTCATTTTGTGGGTTTTTGTGTCGGTTTGTTCGGCTCATTTGTCTCTTTGTAGGCTTTTTGTTAAACAATGGTTGAAAGTGTGTGGAGGTGATGAGTGACGGAGGATAGAAAAGGCCTGACAGCAAGCGAGAGGAAAGTGAAAAGCTTTTCCTGCTGGTGATAAAAGCCAAAAAAAACAAGCCGAGTGCATCTGTAGTTCTAACAAGTGGGGCAGAGAAAAAGAGTCTCTGCAGCAGCCTAATGAGAAACCACTCAGGCTCCGACTCCACCAGGCTTTCATGAGCTCAACTCAGAGGACTGGCTCCCATTTAGGAAGATCAAACCCTAACATGCAATCAGCTCCGACGTACAGATCTGCACGCTGCATGTCAAGTTTAAGCTTTAAATGCTGAACCTCCCTTTAAACCTGAACTACTTTCAGCCGTGCATGCAGGAAACCTGAACTTTCCTTCAACTCCGAGACGATCACACGTCGGAGAGAAACATTAATTCAGCTCGGAGGAACAACCTTGGACTACTTTCCACATCTTAAAGAGCGATCTGAAGGTTCAATATGTGACTGAATGATGAACGATTAATGACAACCGAAGCGTTTCAGTCGACGGGTCTGTCGTCGTCTGCTTCTCTTTTGGTTTAAGTTGGAGAAAAAAAAAAAGCAGCAGCAGCCTGAAAACATGTTTCGTTGAATCTCAGTAAACCTGAGAGCTTTGACCTCAGTCGTATGAAAGCTACAGACACTGAAGCAGCTGTTTAGATACGGACATGCTCTGTCTGTGGTCGTTTTGTGTCTGTTTGTAGTCCTTTTTTTTGTATTTTTGTGGTAGTTTTGTGCCTTTTTTTTGCAGTTTTTTGAGTGTCTTTGGGTGTTTTGTGTCTCACTGTGGTTGTTTTGTGTCTCTTTGCAGTCCTTTTTGTATTTCTCTGCCTCTTAGTAGCTGTTTTGTGTTTTGTGGTCCTTTAGCGTCACTTTTTGTGCTTCCTGGCCTGTTTGTGGTCATTTTGTGTCTCTTTGTCGTCCTTCATTTTTCTTATATTGAGGTGAAAAATGAGAAACATATTCTGTCAGTCCTTTCGTGTCTTTTTGTGGTACTTTTGTGCCTTTTTTGTAGTTTTTTAAAATCTTTTTGTGGCTGTTTTATGTCTTTGTGGTCATTGTGTGTCTCTTTGTCGT